ACCAAATAGCTTTTGTAAAAATTATGTCTCTGAATTAACTGTTTCCATGCAGTTGTTGCTGGAATCCCGGACTGACCCTGAGGGCTGCTAGCCTTTTGAGCTGTATGTGTGTAGCCACAATGAATGCCTCGCGAGGTGATTCCTGGCTGTCTACCAAAATGGGGGGGGGGATGTGTTTTCTGCAGAAAGAAGAGATTGTTGTACCGCCGCTAGGCCGTTGTTTTTGGAAGCAATACGTTTAATCCCACGTGCTTGAAATAGCATGGAAGGAAAAGTGTGTGATGAGATAGCAATAGTTTGCCGCACAGATGCCGAAATGGCTAATTGCGCGTTGTGTGGCCTGGACCAGTAGCTGTAATAACTGCGTAGTGATTTTCAGCCAGAGCTGTTGGCAGAGGTCATGGGAAGGGGTCTCATTTGAGCTCAATGTTCGGGATGGAGTGAGAGAGGGAGCCGTGTACTTCAGATCGGGCTCTGCTCTCAGGTGGTACCGTCTGTATGTCTCCAGTTCGTAACCTGCATCCCACTTAAAATCGCACTTTAGCACAGTAATCGAGGTACGGGAGTGCCACTATAACAGCTCCATTCAGGTACCTGAAGCGTTTCAGAGTTTTCCAAAAGGTTTCCCAAAGGTTTCAGTTAGCGGACCCATTCAGTTGCGTAGTTTCAACTATGCAAGTTGCTAATGTCAGCAACTATGCTTTTATGAAACACACCGCCGGTACGTCACTGCCTCCTGGCTGGCTGGTGCCATCCTATAGGGCAGGGCAGGGGTGACCCCATGTTGAGCAGTACGTGGAGCGTCTGAACCGGTGGCAGGTGTGAGATGGATGGACGGTCGGTGCTGAGAGGTCATCATGCACGTGCATGCTGCTGTCATCATTACCGAGACTCGTTTTGGTCTCTTTGTTCCATGGCAAGTGGTGCAGTTACAGTTAATGTGATTACAGCAGATGGGTTGTTCTGTTTTTGTGCAAGAAGTCACCAAACAACCAGGAGGAATTTGGAAGATGAGAAGTTGTGTCTTCCACAGGTAGAAAGTGATTAAGACCTTAGTTGCAAGGTTCAAGATTAATTCAGCCTCTTTTAAATTATATTTTTCCTTTGATCTTACTTGCCAGAGATTCTTCCACAAATAAAATACAACTAAAGCGGCAGAATCCAAGGGGAAACTAGTGTAACTTCAAACCAGAAATGGTTTGTCAAGATGGAGTCAGTGAAGTTCTTTGTCAGAAAGACAGTCGTGTAAATACTGCGATTTAGAATTTGCCCCACTTGCAGGCAAGACGGGACGACCACGGTGGGATGTTTCATTGGGGTGCCGCATATGCGACGATGTCAAGGGCTATGAGCATTCAGAATGCATTATTAGGGCGCTGCATCGCAGTACGTGGCACTGTCTCGCAGGACCTGCAACAAATGCGACAGATTAGCTTCCCAAAGGTGATACTGTTTGTGTGTGGAATTCCGTATGTTTTTTGTTTAAAATATATATCATTAGTCCATGAACTCTCAACTGAAGATAATTGTGAAACTGCAAAACTAATATTATACATGCCAGTGTCTGATTATTTAATATAATTTTAAGTTCCAGATGAGAATTTTACTTGTTGATATTATGCTTGTGTTCTATTCATCCATAGAAAGATCTTGTGTAATTTCTTAAATCATAATACTAGGGTAGTAAATGCTTTTTATGTGGATGATGAAGACTAGTTCTAAGAATGAAAGGTCTCCACCTCTTTGTGTGTGTACACATCTTCACAAACCCAATTTCCGCTCCTGTGTCAGTGGATCCATTCTGCCTTTAGAAGCACCATGCAGCTGTGTTGAATTCAGGTACGAGGGTCACAGGTTCAGATCAGTTTTAGGGCTTCTTTGTCACAGCTTTGACAGCAGTTTTACCAAAACCACTCTTTGCTTACAATTGTGTGGGAAGGCCAGTACTGTTCACCAGAAGGATCAAATTGGTGGGATTTGTTGGCACTTATAGTAACAATAATATCAAGCTGTTCTTTTTTTGCGCTATGTAAGAATTGGCTCAGGAGACGTAGACCTGTAAGTCGAATTTATAATGTGAAAACCATGCATGGTGTGAGCAATACAAGGATTGGAATATTTTGCTTGTTTCAGACCATTTGGGTTCATGGAGTTCAAGACGTTGAGCATTCATCTGTTGGTGTGTTCTTGTCCTCTTTATGAATCAGATGGTGCCAGAGGGGTTTTTTAATGCAGAAATCAGAAAACCAATGTTTGAACTGGGTGGTGCTTTCCAAAGAGTAATTACAGGGGGTGGATGAGTATGACGGCTGAACTGCACAGCGGCGGCAAAGGAAGTGCGCAGGGATAGGTAGCCATTTTCAGCAAGACAAAAAAAAAACCCATTTTATTATTGCCGCCTGTGCCGCTGTGACTCATCTGATGACGATCTTGGTGACCGAGGCTCGGTAATTATATTAGAACCCTTTCAATAGTGGAAAGGATGGGGTGTTTACCTAAGAAAGTGTCCTCGCTGTATGTATGCTGCTGCAGGGAGGGAAATGGTTGTTACCAATAAAACAGTTTGAATAATGTCAATATCCCATTGCTTAATTTATACACTTAAATTCTAAATGTTACTGTTTCGTTTGTAATTTGTCTTATTTTAGCACTTATCTGTCTGCACTGAATCACTCTCTGACCTCTTTAGCTGCTTTTTCAACAAAAAAAAAAAGATAACGTTTGAGATAGCTGTGGTTTTCCTCGCTTCTTGTAAATATACGTATGCAAACAAAATTAATTGTTGTATAACGCCGCAGCTGTCAATAGTGCATTATGGGTGGAAGGTGTCTGTAAAGGCATAAGTGTAGTACGGAATACTGTGTAAATGTAAGGCCCTTCAGCGACCGCGATCTAGTCTTCCTTCAATGAATTGTGCTGAGAAAACAGTAAAAAAAATCATAGCCGTTTATGAGTGCTTGAGATATATCAGCTGGTACGGCAGACAGTGCCCTTAGGGTTAGGGAGGGACCTTTTATACTCGAGAATGTAAGTGCTGTTAAGTCTGGGTTGTAGTGTGCCAGCTTGCGGTGGGACAGGCGGTGCTGATCCGCCGCCCCCGGCCATTCCCCGCTCTGATTGGCTGAATGTATGGCGCCATCGGAGCATCGCCAAGGTGACCTTCCAATGGCTCGCTGCTAACTCCCGCAAACGGGGATTGGGAGGGGCGCTGTCCTTCTGCATGAAAGGAGTGGGGGACTCCTGTCGTTCTGAAGTCTTCCTGTCCCTGTTGAATGCGCCCCCTCCCCCCCCCACAGTTTGACACAGTATTCTCTTGCACCCACAAGAGCTCTCAGCGTGAGGCTGAGTTGTCCTCAGACTCCCGTATGTTGTACACGAACAACCTACACTGTCGGCATGAAGCTGTAAATATGTTTTGGGTTTTTTGTGGATATAAAAGCATATTGTTCTTTAATTAATTTTATAAATATATTTTTTGTTGCTTTTGTACATTTCCACCGCTTAAAAGGATACTACTCACAGATCTTTGCTAAACTTTTGCAGAAAGGCGTTTTATAAGTTCTTTTTTAATTTCATGTAACTGGAAAAAAGCAAATTTAGTCCTTTAAGCTTGTATCATTTTTATTAATATATTTTGCTGCCTTTTGCCTATGCAACAAATGCATCGTCCATACTGTGTGAATGGCAATGGGGGAAGACTATGCTATGCTCCCAGTGCGTGCTGGGAGATCTGTACTGTTTTCGTCAAAATCATCAGATCGTCGTCTAAAGCTCTCTGCATCCCGCTGCTATTAAACATTTGGTGCAATAAAAATTAGGCATTGTGTGACAATGCGGTCGCTTCATCGATTTGTTCGTTTTCGAAAAGAAGCTGCCCTATTGAGTTGCGGAGGTACATGATGCAGAGCTGTTGCCTTACTGCCTGATATTGCCCGTAACACTCATGTACTGTAATAGTCATAAGAATTTGAAAATAATAGGGTTGCAAGGGAGATAAGGGCCAGACGGAGTGTGTTGAGTTGATCTCAGTGCATAGCACAAGGACGGTAGCCTGTAGCAAATCTAGTGGCATATGCATTATGGTATTGTGTGTTCACAAGCGAGTAATCATTCCCTTAACACATGTGACACACTGTTGTTGTGTGAGTTTTAGCATCATGCCAGTCCACACTGCTGCTATTAACTTATACTATTAAGATGCTATGTCTCCTGAGGGAATGGCTTGGTGACCTACCTACAGGGTTAATCCTGCTGAAATGCATGTGGTTTGTATTCTGTGCAAAAGCTGTATAAAAAGACGCTTGTTTTATTCTGTTACGTATATTGTTTTTTTTTTTTCCTTGGATGTTTGTTTTTCCTCTGTACCTCAAGCATTCCTCTAAAGCAGTGTTTCTCAAACTGGTCCACAGGGAGCGAAAGCATGGACTGTCTGGCAGGGAGCTGGGAGGGAGCGAAAGCATGGACTGTCTGGCAGGGAGCTGGGAGGGAGCGAAAGCGTGGACTGTCTGGCAGGGAGCTGGGAGGGAGCGAAAGCATGGACTGGCTGGGGGTCCCTGGGGACCGGCTTGAAAAGCACTGCTCTAAAGCCATCTACACCGGGTTGATCTCTATCTTTACACACGTCAGTCAGAATGGCATAGCATAGCAGACACCTGGCTAGCCAGCATGGGGGGACCCTCCCCTGGCAAAAACAGCCCAGACAGCCTGACTGCCCCCCCATACCTAAAAGGTACTGTCATCAACTACACTGGGCCTCTGCTCCCTGGTGGAGAGATGACAGTTTGGAGTCCTGCTCTAAGACTCTCTTCGAAGGCGCTTTTACCTGCTGAGCCAATTCTCAGATGCATTTTCTAACAGGAACAAAGTGCTGAGTGGGATAATAAGCCGCCCAGCTGAGCGATCTGTCGGTGTCTTTTTGACACGACTCAAAAAAACCTTTCTGAGAGATTTCAGCCATTCTTTTGTACCACGGTAACACTGTACAGTAGGCTTGTAATATATGCAAATAATGCATGTATTTTAAGGTTTTTAATAAACATATGAAGTGTACATATACTGGATTACAGCTTACCTGTATATTAGCATGCAGTACTTGCTTACAGGCTGTGTGTAAATATGGCAGATCACTGTATTTAAGGATACACTTGAAACACAAATGGGCTGTCAAATTAACGCTGTGCAATGGATTTTTTTGTGCCTTTTGTAATTCATGTATGTAATCTAGACAATCTTGAAGAGGTTGTATACAACCAACATGTTATTAAAGAGATTTGAGGAGGGCTTTGAAACTGTCTCTTTGCTTCATATTTAAATCATGTATCCATCCACCTTCCGTAGCACATCCAGAGCAGCATCGCAGTGAGCCTGCAGTGTGTGATCACTGCAGCAAAGGGCACACACATGCTCACACTCAGGCACTTTATTTCACGTAACTGGGTCTCTGGATTGGGGTTAGATTCTGGAGAGCCTTGAGGAGACCACCACTAGAGGAAGAACATGCAAAGTCGACCCATACACTCTGAGTGAAGGTGGGCTTCAAACCTCTGAGCCTGGCGTTGTTAGGCAACAGCATGGTTCATTATATTTGTTGAGTTGGTAGTGTTGTCGTCTGCTGCAGGCAGCTTATCATTCTGTCCTGTTCTGTCCCTCCTTGCAGGTTCAACATTTGGACCCTTTATTGGTGCCTTCTGGTCCGCCTTACCGAGACTTCAGAGCAAAGGAGCGCATTTCCGGCAGAGATGCTCCGAGTAGTCTTCCTGAGGCACGGTATAAGAGGGTGGACTTTGCGACCACCATGATCGCTGGCACGCTGTCAGTGTTCCCCCATGATGCCACGGCTCCCCCCCCAGAGCAGAACAACGTGGACGAGGCAGAAACACCCAAGAGTGAGTCAAGCAGCGAGGCCAGTCAGAAAAGCACTGAGCGCAGCCAAGATGGCGCCCCCTCCACGCTCCTGGCTGATGATCAACGGGAGTCCAAGGGACAGGTCTCCACAGTGGAGCCAGACCTTGAGCTGGAGGAGGCCTCTAGGACGCTCGTTCTTTTCTCACCTGGAGATGCTAGGAAGTGCTTGGGAGGGGGGGACGTTGATCTGGGAACTATGGCAGCAATCACCCCACAGACTGAGAGGCTGCAGCCAATGGGGAGCCAGCTGGACGTCTCTGAGCCCGGCACGCTGTCCTCGGTGTTGAGATCCGAGCCGAAGCCCCTCGGCACTACCACTGGCGCCTCCTCCCCACTCACCAAAGTTGAGCGCACGTTCATCCACATCGCCGAGACCTCCCACCTGAACGTGATGTCTTCCAGCGGCCAGCAGGTGAGGCACGAGGACCGCGGCCTCTCCCGGGTCTCAGAGGAGCCCTCGGGTGACGATGGAGAGAATGTGGTGGAGGGCGAGATCGCGGAGGAAAACGGCGAGTTTGGCTCGCTGGAGAAGGAGCCCGAGCTTAACGGCTGTGCTCCGGCAGCTGGCCATTCTGGATCTCCTCCCACTGAAAGGGTGCTTGTCGAGAATGGTGCTTGTGTTTCTGTGGAAAGTACAGAGTTCAGAGAGGACGGCGGTACTCCTCCTGTCTTTGTGGGCCCTGATGTCATCTCGGCTTTCCCACCTCCACCAGTCAGTGTGGAGGTTCTGCCGAAGTCCCCCGCCAAGGAGGTACTGGTGGAGCAAGTCGCCGCTGGGCCCCTGGTGGAGCTCAGGTCCACCAAGCTGCCGAGACCCCTGCCCCGGAGCCGGATACCCATCCTCATGTCTGAAGAGGACACGGGTTCGGATCAGTCGGCCTCCCAGTCCTCCCGGGAGCGACTGGGTAAACGAGCGAGGCAGCAGCGCCTGGCACGCCTGGTGGTGGAGAAGCAGCAGAGCCGTCTGCTGAGGATGGCCTCGTCCTCCGTGTCCTCGGGCGACGAAGGCAGGCCGGCGTCCGAGACCCTGTCGGCCACCGGCTCTGAGGAGGACACTCACGACTCCGACGACTCCCCTGGCAGGAAAGCGCTCGTTCCCAAATCCCGCGAGCATGAGATTGGACCGGACCGGCCGCAGAGCCGGATCCCACGCCCTGTGACGCCGATAAAGAGGACGTCGGGCCATTTCACATCCGTACCCACACCACTGCCCTTCAAAGCCGCACCCACTCCTCTGAATAGGTACGTCTCAGATCCCGCAGTCTAATTACCTGTAATAAACCCATAACTGCCACCCCAAGCAGTCAGTGGCTCGAGCATTTGCTGTATCTTCATTATTCTGTCATTCCAGGCTTCAGACTCGGGGCAAAGCCGTGCTGTACACCCCAGGCGAGCCGAAATCGCCCCCGATGCAGTCCAAGCCCCGCCCCACACCCGGGCCACCCATGTACTGCACCAGTCCCAGGATGCCGTCGAGGGCAGGGTCCCGGCCCCCGCCCGTGGCCACAGCCCCCCGCAGCTTGAGCGCCTCCCCCCGCAGTTACTCCACCTCGCGGACTGACAGCCCCTCCCCGCAGCGGCAGCGCCGGCAGACGGCTGCCATCGAGGTGAGGCGTCAGTTCATTTCTGTCCGGGCCAACATGGCGGCCCCGCTCAAGCCCCGCCCCCCGCCGGGCAGCCCCCCCGAGGACTCCGCATTCGGGCCGCCCGCCGCCGCCAAGCCCGGCAGGAGGGCTAAGCCGCTGCCGCAGGCCTCGGTCCTGCCCGCCAAGAGCAGGGCGGCCACCAGATAATAACATGCACTCCAGAAGCATCCGCCCGTGGCGAATCCACGCTTCTCAGCCTGCTCCGGAGTAACTCCTCGCCTCCCCCAGGCCGAACAAACTGCTTCCAGTTTACCACCAACCCCATGTTCCAGGCTGCTGTCTGAGGGGTTCGCTTGCCAAAATGGGTCGGGTGAGCTTGGACCGCCTTTGAGATCTGGGTCACAGCAACGTTGAGGGACCGATTCAACCGCAGGTCTGTTGTATTGACAAATAGTCAGAGTTATAAACGTATAACTCAGCCAGGTTTAAACCTCTCTGGCCGAATGATTGACCTCTGGCTGTGCTCAGTGTTCAAGGCTAACCATGGGTATCATAAATGGTAAATATAAAGTAAAATTTGTGTCAACACATTGTATCACCAAGCAGCTGGTAATGGTGATGGGAATGTGTCCCTACAAACCAAAAACAACACAATTCAGTTTTTTATTTGAAGAGCTGGTTTAACACTTACCTAAACATGTTGCTCAACATACCAACAAGTTCCCACATCTTAGAATGTCTTGAAACATAACCCAGTCAATTTGTTAAGGGTGAAAAATGTGTAGCACATACTGCTAATATTCTAACCCTTTTAGGGTGCTGAGCTTTTACCTTGATGTTCATGATTGCACATGATTGTGAGGCCAGAGATCACCCAAACTCCAACGGATGGATTTCTGTGTGGTCCTTTGAGCTACAGGGGTCTGCCTGAAAAATGTTTGTTTGGTCTGAGGGGGGAGACGGTACCACTGTGGGTGCAAAAGCATAGATACGGCGAGACAGAGGATCCTGGAAAGATCCGTAGTGAGTTGAGCCGTGTTTGGCGGTTCTGACGAGGTCCTCTGCGCTTGCTTATGACCCCTGGCCAGAAACAGCATACCTTTTACAAAGATACGTTCTCACTGTCTGATAATAGTTTACCCAGAGTATGTATATATTATATATATTTATTTCTCGGAGATGTAATCTTTATTTTTATCCGGTAGGTTCTTTTGAAACATATTGTTTTCTCTCCTTTAATTTTGCAAGATGGGATCCGTATATGAATTCTGAGCGGTGACAAACACGGGGTAGAGTTTGGCATTCCCCGGAGAGAGGAGACCTCGGCTCACGGGATGACGAGAGAGTCTCCATGCCTCGTTAGGCACAAATGCATTAATTATAAGTGGTGGCGTGTTTCAGCAGACGAGACCTAACATTACCGAACAGAAAGTGACGTTAATGTCACAACTGCTGAAGCGATGTTCCGGTTCTGTAGCCGGTAGCTGGGAGACAATGGTTGAGGTTATTTATTCTGTTAACAGGTCTTGTGAGGAGGTACATAGAGAGGAGTAGGTGTACAACAGCAGCTAATACTGTGGCGATTTAAGCGACACTGAGGAGTAAGCGTTTAATGTACAGAAACCTGGACAGTTTGGGAAGCTTCTGTAAAGTTCTTCATCAGTCTAAGAAACCACAGCCTTGGGCACAGAAACTGGCATATGTGAAGGCTAGTCCGAAACGACGGCCCAGACAGAGCGCAAAGAGCCAGGTGTCGTACCGCAGCACAGGCAACTGCAGGACAAAAAACTTGACTTCCAGCTGTTGACATCGGTGCTGTAATTCTCTGCATAATGTCTGCATAATTAATTGAATCATCGGTTATTTAAATCGCTAATCGGTTCTGCATTCCGGGGAAGGCTCCATTTTGCCACTGTCAATGGCCAACATATTTTACTGTATGTTTATTTGCACACGACAATCATAACCTAGATTTAAAACATTAAAGTCAAGCATGCCCGTTTCAGCCTGTTAGAAAAGCACTTACGGGCCCATATTTTCGAATCCCACCTTGGATTCTTGTATCCTCTCCACAGGCCAGTTCAGTAATTTCGACCTTGGTGGGGGATCAACAACTCCCAGGACATGCTTATCGTCTGGGGCTGCCGTCTGTCGCAAGGCCTTTAAATGTGAATTTCACATGAGATGCCCGGTCGCATAATGCAGCGCAAAGACGAAACCGTCCAAATCAAAAGACAATTCAATATGGATTGACGTGAGAGAAACACTTGAGAACTATGTAAATGTTACTCAGTCAAAGTTATTAAGATGTTGAGAAGATATAGGTGATATGGGAAGGTTAGCTGTGAGTGACTGTTGGGACACTTACTGGTTTCTTTAAACCCGAAGTCTGCCAGCATGGCTGCACGCAACAGCCATGTTTTGACAATCCAACCTCGCTGCTTAGACAGACAGACAGTGTTGCCAGTGTCCCCATCGGTCCAGCGAGACTGAAATCCAGGAATTCTGACTTTGACCGTGAGTCTCTGGAACGGACGGCTGTGTCCGGATGTAAACGCCCTGCACCACACGTCTCCCATGAGATTCCTGTTGCCGTAACCACTGGTCCCAGCTACCACTATTGCCAGTAACGCTAACACCCTTCCGTCATGGTTGAATAACATCAGAACGGAGGTATTTAGCTTCTTAATATGATGAAATCCCCACACTCCAGTTCCCTGTGCATGTTGACACCAGTGGCAGATAATTCGACTTGTTTTGAGAGGTTTCTGATGTGATCTGTCTGTGAATGAACATTTTGCTTTTCGTAAACACATCCGGTGTCATCAAATAGCTTGGGCCCTTCTTGTGAAAGTGTAAACCTGAATGGAGTTTGCCTAAAGAAATATATATTTCTTCTAAAGTTTGGAGTTTCATGCTGCCCTGGACAAAGCATTAAATGAGCCGATTTAATTACTATTTTGTTTTGCGTCACTATCTGAAGTGGAGTTTATAGTGCTTGATGTGGCCACCAGGGTGCGCTGTCTGGGTTCAATTGGCCAGGGGTTGGGTTGCAGCATCAGTCAGAAATAAAGTAAAAGGGGCTGCTCATGTATGTGCGTAGTCATAAAGCAGGGAGAGAGGATTTTATCATGTCCGTAAGAGTAACAAATCTTCCACAAATAACGGAAATGAACTGCTCTCGCCTATAATCGTGAAACGATTAGCATCTCTCACAAAAAACACAGAATAAACACACACACACACACACACACACACACACACACACACTGCTTTTTTTGTCCACATCTATCACATCACCACAGTTGAGATGTCGAGAGGTCAGTCCAGGGTAGCCTGAGCATTAAGCGACGTGAGCGACTGACCAAGCTCTCACCTGAAAGCACAGATGCCCCGTGCAGAACTGGCCGGCGCTGTACTCACACACACACATTGCCCGCGCCACACAAGGGGGGGGGGGGGATGGGGACAAAGGGCAAGCAAAAGACACAGCGGGAGGACCAAGTCAAAGATTATTCTTGTTTTCTTTTTTGTTTTGTTTTCAAAAAAGCAGCAAAAGCAATGTTTACACGTTTAAAGCAGAATGTAAAAAAATACTGCATGATAGGTGATATCTGGCCAAATAAAATGGTTTGTGTATTATGGGAGGTATTGTGAGGATTCATTTGCCATTTGTTATTTTTCTTAGCCCCCCCCCATATCCAACTATTTGTCAGTACAATCTGGCTCTGTGGACTGTAACAACCGACATGCATAACCATGCTATTAAAAGACCCTCTCTTTTAACTCTCTCGTCTGCTGTTTTATGTCTCTTGGACTACATTGGAGTTTGCATTTCTTGGGTTTCTGCATTACAAATTTTATAGCTAAATTAATTATTTTTTATCAGCGGACTGCAGATCTTCTGTTTTGCAATGTGCGCACTCAGCAGTAGTGTTTACCCCCCACTGAAACCGCCCGCTTGCAGGGGGGCCCGTGATCCATTAGGTCGGACCCCAGAAGCAGCAAACCTGTGCTTGTGCAATCTGTGCCTAATGTCACTTGGCTTCAGAGTCTGTGCTGCGTCTAGCTCCGCATGCTGCCACCTTGTGTGGCTTGTCGGCGCTGTTGATGGTGGAGGAGGAGCGTGAGGGCGGGGGCGGGGGCCCGGTGGGGATGAGGGAGCAGCCGCCCCAGTTTTTCGGTCTTAGGGCCCTTTATCCAGAGTGACCTGAGTGGTGTGACAGAGGCTGGCCCCTGCAGAGGACACAGCTGTAGTGCTGGCCTGTGCTATAAAGAGGAGCCACATCAGCAGTGCTGTTGCTTCCATTTGCTAACAGGACACCCTTAATATCTCCCACTGCAAATGCCCATGGGGTTCAATCTTAGTAAGAGCTGATGGCTCCCTTGGGCTTTTCTACTACAAATCTCACCGTTTCCAGTCTCGCCATGACGTATTCACACGCTCCGAGGGTCTTTTGTACCTGTAACAGGAGACTCCTGAACCCTCAGAGAGAACCAGCAGAACTTGTCACGGAACTCTGTGTTCACGACGGACGTCTCTGTCCTTTCGAAAGCACCGTGTGATGAATCGCGTGGTGGAACAGAGGGCTGAACGACGCCGGTGACTCAGGAAGGAGTCTGATGGCCAGGCTGAGTATTGCCTTTATTATGGAGCGCTGGTGCATTTTTTAGTGAAGAGGAAGACTCACGATGCTTTCAGGCTCATACAGAAGACGGCAGAATCATCGCATGGGAGTGCTGAGGGGCATCAGTAATTCACTGGCCAGCTAGAACCTATTAACTGTATGTTCACTTAAGAGTGCTACAGAGAAAGCCCAGATGAGCTTGTAATAACGGAACCCAAACTCGAATGCCCAGTTCTCCAGAATCACTGTGTATGGTTCGGTGAAGTCTTTGTAGCCACAAAGGTGATCCTTCCGGTAAGAGCAGCCATGCCTGTAATGTCACGATCTGTTTGCCTGCAGTTCTCTGATGCATGTGGAAGATAATATCTCTGTAGTGGACTTGACTTGCCGCCTCTACAGTTCCCCTCCTGCAAATGCTTTGTAGTCCTGTGCACCAGCTGTGTAAATGTACCCAGATTCCTCCTCAGATAAGCAAGCAGAGATGGATCGGAACCTTCTCCCACATTGTGCTGCTGTATTTATTATTGTTTCCATCACACATCTGAGAAGACCTCCTCGTGGAAGAACATGGAGCTCCCAAGGAGCCACATAAGAAGCTGCATGCTGCGACTTGGCAAGTTCTTTTTATTTTAATTAAAAAAATGTGTTGATAGTCGGTAAGCTTGTAATAATTAGGTATAATTGTATACCTGTAGTTATTTTTTAATTATATTTACATGGAAACTTCAATGGAATCTGTCCAAAACATACACAGGTTTTTTTTTTTTATGTGTTTAATTCCATCCCTGGATCTTCTGTTCTAAACAGCAGGAACGATCTGGAAGCCCGGAGATGTTCTGCGTGGCCCGGTGAAAGGAAAGCTGGATTAGACTGTCGGGTCTCATTCAAAGGACAAGGTGCCGTGTCAGGTCTGCGCCGCGGATGTGATGCTGTAGGTGTCTCAGGCAGTCAGTCTGCATTAGTCAGGGTAATAAGAAGAGCCTGCTGCCTGCCTCAGCTGCTGGAATTGAGTGGATGGTGATCCACATTCCCGCTGACGGTGGCATTCGGAGACATGCTACGGCTGGTGACTTCTCTGCCTTTCAGCCCCTGTATTTATGCAGGGTAGCCATTTCCTCATGTCCAGGTTTGTCTCCTTCGTGCCCCCCTCCCCTAACTCTTGTGCCGCTTACCACACGGAGGCAATCAGGCTAACTGGCATCTCTAAATTGGCTGTAGCGTATGACTTCGTACATACATGCCAGACGATGGCCTGCCATCCCATCCGGGGTGAACCCCAGCATAGCGCCCTGTGCTGCCTGCGATAGGCATCAGGCCCCCCTGTGACTCTGAACAGGTTAGGCAGCTAGAAGATGGATGATTATTAGTTGACAAAAAGCAGAGCCCAGGTTTACTGTATGACAGAATCCTGGTAATGCTGCTCATCAAAAAATTTGACAGCATATCTATCAAAGGAACAAAGTTTCTCAGGCAAAAACTGCTGCTACAGCTCATTTCCTTTACTCTGTGCTGACATTTTCTTCTGCAGTGCAGTCGGACCATCTTCCCAGTGGTATGTTGGCAGACTAGATAGTAATGGCAGCTTTAAGAAAACCTATAGATGCAACTTTAAAGCAAATATGGGGAGGAAAACATCAAACAGACAATAATCCAGAAGTCTGCTGTGCATGAGTTTAGTTTGGGTGGCATTGAAGTTATTCGAGGTAAATCACAGTCTTAATTATGGTGGTTGAGACTTTCCTTAAGGAGCAAGCAGTTGAGCATCATATTGTCAGGATCAGTCCCTACCTTGTTTCATCCTGTCTGTTTTTTCCCCATTTGGCCAACAGGTGTCACTGGTCGTCCTGTTCCATTCTCTGTATTGTCCTAGGTTTTGTTCCTCACACAGGTCATACTGGTTTCCCATTCTCCCAGGTCCACTGTGTGGCTGAATGGGCTCAGCAGCTTTGAAGCTCGCTGTGTTTTTTATTTGTTGCCCACGTGTTAATTATGTTCCTTGCGTTTATGCACTCAGTATTGGTCCTTGCATTTACTGTCTTTGCTCCTAGTTTATCCTCCCCCTGTCCAGTTCTGTAGTTATGTCCTGTATTCCTTGTCTCTCCTGTGTATCTCCTAGTCCCTAGTAGGCTCGATCACGGTCCCATGCAGAATGAAAGCGTGTTTTTAATGAATAGTGTTACTTGTTTCTGCAGCTGGGTTGTACACAGCAGGACCATGCAGGTTGGTGTGAAAGGGGGAGAGAAGATTTTTGTAACTGGAATTTTGTACGATTAGCTTCTAAAAAATAGGTAGAGAAGTGCATACTCTGGTGCATTTTCAATATTTCCTCTGAAGATACATATTGTGGCAGGTTAATAATAACTCGAAACTGGAAAGTTACAGCCACTGATTTTTGCCTTCGTTATTATGGTTGTTATAGAACCTTTAAGACCCACCATATAATGGTTTACATCACAGACAATGTTATTAACTCATGTTCAGCTTTTCCTAAGCTGTTTAAACACAGAAGCCTTGAACTTTTCAGGAGAACCTTTTTCAGTGCTCTCTCAAAACCAGAGTTTGCTGTCTTCCTCCTTTCCTGTAAGATGCGACTATGACCAGGCCACTGGACACCGACAGGTGACCCCATCTCAGCTTGACGGCTCCATCTTCTCCTGCATCAGTAAAATTACGCCTGAGCCAAGTGCATGCCATTGACTTGCTGGCTGGCCGCCCCCCACACGTGATGTTTCTTCTCAGTCCTAAGTTTCATTGAGTCTGCATCTCCTGCTGCATTTTTATGATGATATTGATCCACCTTCCCCACGAAATATCAGCAACACAATATGGCACTTAATGCTTCTGCTTTTAAAAATCAATCCAATTTGTGAGGAAAGAAAAGGTTACACTAGTGGGGGAGGGGGGACATGTTTTCAGTCATCTTTAATTTGGTTCATCAACAATTCAATGCCGGGAGGAATTTTTAATTCACTTGGGTTGGTGACTTGTTGGTAGTGGAATTACGCCAAGATCTCCTCAAAGCAGTTAATGAAAATGAGTAAGAACAAAAGAGAACTTGGAGATCATTCACCAACAGAAAAAACAGGCGCAACAATGCATAGCCCAAAAAGACTGCATTAGATGGTTTCAAAATATATATTCCTCTGATTTATTTTTGCTTCTTTCCTCGTAAACCTTATGAATGAAGTAAAACATATGAAGCAGTAGAGTTAAGAATAGATTTCATTGTTTTGGTTTGCTCTCAGGGACAGAACGGAATGACATTGAGCGCCAGCTCTGCTGGGGTGGCTGCACACTGGCTGGTAAGTCCACACCCAGGGATGTTCTAGGCGCGCCTGGTGTCTGTATGCAGTGTGCGAGGTGTACCTGGCAGTGGTGAAAATGGTCAGTGCTCGGAGGAACCGCCCCAAGCGTGCCAAGGTGAATGGGAAGGAGATTCCGCCCAGCAACCTTAACATGGAAGCCGAGACGTGTTTGGGCAGACAAGTGGCAGCTTTTACAAGACGGACAGAAATTTAAAGGATGAAATACTCTGAATTTAATGTGACTGGCTTACTGTTAGAGAGAAAACTTGCCTGCATTTTAGCTACCTCTGCCGGAAGTTGATGTTGATCATACATGATTTTTCCGAAAGTGTGTGAAGCAAGTTTCCTAGAATTGCATGAGCATGTCCTAATGTCTGTCATGCGATTGGCTTCAGGGCTTCTTAGGCATGTGTGGGTCAGTTAAAATTAGTACAGTAACAGGCGTGACAGACAGCATTTCTCACCTCTCCAGGCATAAGATGCCCATGATGAGCTGGATGACCTCTATTTCAGACCAGAGGTACTTCAGCAGTATGATTGTAGTCTAAAGTGGGATCAAGCAGTGTCCTAATAGTATGTGTTAAGGTGCATCAGGTAAACAGTGGCATTGAATCTCAGATAGTCTCAAACCTGTAAAGATATTGGATGACTATCATTTGAATAATCGTTTGCCTTCATCGGTCAAATCTGTTAATCTTTGTCAAAAGTCCTATATGAATGTATCAAGAAAACGTGACGAGAACGGGAACAAAGTCCAATCTGGCCTCTTCACCGGTTTTGTTCGGTCTGCGAGGCACGCGGATGGTGAAGCGCAGGGATGTCCCGTTTGCTGAGTTGGCGGTTTCGAGATGCGCAGTGTTTCTCTGTAGGAATCTGCGGGGGTCCCCATCAAGCTGTGACCCCCCCATGGTACAAACACAAATAATATCTAGCAGGCAGATGGAAGAGTCTTGACATTTTAGGGAAATTCAGGTTCACACAGCTGAAACTGTCATAACATCTCGAATATATAGGACTGAATTGTTCCCGGGGCTGGGCCGACATTACAGGACATCCCACAGCTGAACAGGTAATTAAAAATGAGTACTAGCTTATCTTTGTGACCCTTTGACATGTGCTGCAGGAGTAACCAAATGCAGTGCTTCTAGGTTTCATGTCTATCAAATTACAGATAAAATGAAAGTGTGAGTGACATACAAATTAAAATACAGATCAAAGACGTGACCAAAGCCTTGACAGTTTGAAATTTAATAATAAAGATATGAATTAAGCAGAAAGTGTCTGATTCAAGATTCAAGTGAGTTTCAGTATTCAAGATTCAATATTGTCATGTGCACAGTAAACAGACAGTGACACTATGCAATGAAAATCTTACTCTGCATTTCATTCCAGCCACTGGTAAACCAATCACAAAACACAGATCACAGATACAAATTAAGCTGCTTGAGACAATAAATACGAGTACAGTTACGTATAAATACGGAACCCCAGTGCAATGTATGCATATGAACAATGTAAACATATAAACATGTAGTGCAATGACCTGGAGGAGGTATATAGCCACATGGTAAACAAGGGGTTTGGATCACGCCGAAATTTGTTTGTAGCCGATCACACATGTAGCCCATCAGTACATTTACAAGTGACTATCATGATTGCGTGAAATGATTGTGTTAATGGTGGTTCTCCCCATCCCTGCAGCTCCGCCTCGAACCCTAACCAATCGCGCCCCTTAGCTGCCCAGCAGGCCCTGAAACAAAAGCACGGTCAGCTGGGTCTTGGCATGTTAATCAGGGAACACAAAGATCCCAGTCTGTGTTAACACAGATTAGCACTATTGTCTTCCCCATGGGTGGGGGCTGCGCTGTTACCCCGGTGCACCCTCATCAAAGCGTTAACTCAGCCCTGTCCTTTTGACCAGGGAGGGGGAAACAAGTTGATCTTTGGTCTGGGGTAGGGCTTATGGTTGTGCAATTAAAAAAATAACCACACACACACACACACACACACACACACACACTGGAAGGCAACTGGTGAAAGTTTATAACCCCCCCAAGGAAGACTGTAGCTTTACACGGAATAGGGCCGACCTTTGCTGGGGGTCCAGGTAGCTTCAGGAGCAGAGAACGATCACGACATCTCCAGGCAAGCTCTTCTTAATGTTCACTAATATGGTTATTGTAGTTCTTAGCTAACAGTATTACTATTCTGTCACAGATAGATGAATATCTGACTTATAGAACTGAGTATTTCATTGGTCATTTTATGCAATTTGAACAAGGGTATTATGGCTGTATACTGTCTGATTACATACAGTCTTCACGCTATAAGTCTGCCAATTTGCAAACATGCTGCCTGCTGCACTGATAATCGTCCACACATTCGTTTCCTCTGCGGGCATGCACATGATCTGGGGAATGTGCTGTTTGTAGCCTGAGTGCTTTAGGGGATGTGAATGTCTGACCGTAACAAACTCAAACATAAGTGCCTGTTATCACAACTTTGAAGCAGGAATGAGGTTTAGGTGCGATTAAAGCTAAGCTTTCCTTGAATGAGCAGCACAATAAACTACGATAAAGCCTCAAAGAGGGGCAAAGTTCTGCTTATTGTTGGAATGTTTGAATGACTAGCAGCATCTTGCAGTAACTCAGTTAGTTCATCCCCTCCATCCCCTGCCCCCAGGCTCCAGCGACCAGCAGCATGAAGTTTGAGAACCTCCTTGCGGAAATAAATGGCTTTGGGAAGTATCAGATTCTGCTTTTTCTCTTGCTGCTTATTCCACGCTTCACCCTGCCCTGCCACTTCCTACTTAACATCTTCATCGGCGCCGTGCCGTCCCACCACTGCGACATCCACGTCCTGGATGATGGGGAAGTCTTTGAGAACTTCACTCAGGAGCAGAGGATGATCGTCTCTATTCCGGCTGAGGAAGATGGCAGTCCAAGTTCATGCCAGATGTTCTCACAGCCCCAGTTCCATCTCCTACATGGAGTCTCCAACGCTACAGCAGAACCTGCTGTTCCGTGTCAGAATGGATGGGTCTATGACACCGGCACCTTTGCTTCCACCATAGCGACTGAGGTAAGTCTTTTCATAGCATTTTGGGAGATTTCGGTTTCTCTAGTTTTGATACCCCGTGGCTATATTTTCATGCTGCCAGTGTTAATCTAAAAATAAAACGTAACGTCAGATGCTCTGTTTTGACCCATTTTCTGCTTGTGTGGTGGCAAATTGATATTGTTATGAAATCTGCAATCCTTAAGAATGATAAATGATTTCATTAATTATGTAAAAAATAAGCCTGATGCAGTGCTGATGGTCAGGTCAGTCCACAATCCGTCACAGATTATCCTTCTGCACTTTGGGTTAGTCTTCTGTTTGACATTGGCTCTGGGCACTAGGCAGCAATGGTCTGTGTGTGCGATGACGTTAATCGCCCAGTGAGTGATCTTCCTGTTTCTGATTGGCTCTTCTCTGAAGTGGAACCTGGTCTGTGCCAGGAAAGGCATAAGCAAGGCCACCGCCACCATCTTCTTCGTGGGGGTCATGATTGGATCTGTGGTTTTCGGGATCCTTTCTGACAAGTGAGTCCCCTTTTTGTCGTGAACTGAATTAATCTCACTGGTATATAAATAAAGAACCAGATCTATCTGACTGTTTAAGCATACATTCCATCGATCCATCCATCCGTCCATCCATTCATCCATCCATCTGTCTATCTATCCATCCATCCATCCATCCATCCATGCTTAAAGGGTGATATGGGTCATAGGGCCCATCCCAGACATTTCAAGCCACAAACCTATTAAATATGCATCCTCATGCTATTGAAGTCCTGAATACTGATTGTGATGTGATGTGGCCAACCTCATTTCAGTATTGTGCATCACATGACCCCTTCATATGAGAAGTAGCGACCAGATGATTGGTCAGTGGCTAAATAGTTGAGAGAGTGGTTCAATAAAGTTTGGTAAAACAATAACAATAATGTTCCAGTTGTTTCCTTCTTTGTGATGCTGGTCCAGGCCATAAATATTTATTTGAGTGTTTTTGTATTAGCAGTGATTTATATAGATTTATATATTTGTTCTGTTTGTCGCATCTTCAGGTTTGGCAGGAGACCCCTGTTGCTGGTGTCCTACGTGTCATCTATCGTGTTCGGGCTCACCAGTGCCTTCTCCAGCTCCTACGTCATGTTTGCCATCACAAGATTCTTCACTGGATTCGCGCTCACTGGAATCAGCATCATCTCTATTGTTCTCAGTAAATGCTCCCGCGCATTCAGTTTCCGCACATACGCTTTGTGTGTTTCATCTTTCATTTTTTTCATTTTCTCTGACTCATCAGTAGCTCCCGCTGATAGAAACGCCCAAAGCAATGTAGGGCCTCATCCTGTCGTTCTGTGTTCTGTCCCTCGGAATCTCGTATTTCCACAGCACACCGTAAATTTGTCCCTGCAGGTGTCGAGTGGGTCGACATTGAGCACAGAACCTTCATCGGGGTGTTTGGGAGCATCTGCTGGAGCGTGGGCAATATGATCCTGGCGGGAATAGCCTACGCTGTTAATGACTGGAGGCCCCTCTTGATAACTGTGACTGTTCCTCTGGTTTTCTCAGTTATTACCTGGTGGTAAGACCTCCGTGGACCAGCTGGACAGCACAGGGATGTCTACTACTGTCATTTCCCCTTGGAAGCTTGACTGAGAATCTGGAGATCTTTGAATATGCTCAAGTTTGCAGAATGATACAACAGAAATTTTCAGCGAGCACATCAATACTAAAACCCACATCCAACTATGTATTTACATTTATCAGAATCACAGGGTAGCCCTAACATAAGAAATAAACAAATATGTAAAATAATGCATATCTTATTTTAGCATAATATTTAACATATCAGACAATATTTGTTGTTGCAATTCCATTTGGTGCGAAACAGCACAGCAGCACAGAACAAAATGTGTGTTATTTCCAGGTAACTTCTGTGCTGTTTCTTCAGGTGGATTCCAGAGTCAGCCAGGTGGTTGATAGCCAACGGGAAGGTGGAGAAGGCTCACTTCTACCTGCAGAAATGTGCAAAATGTAACAGGAAGGCAGAGGTCATCGCAAACATCAAGTCAGAGGTTTGCATCCTTCGCCTTAAAACCAACTGACTCTCTGAAGAGGATGAGCTTTCCCCTCTCTGCACTGCAAAGGATGAGCTTTCCCCTCTCTGCACTGCAAAGGATGAGCTTTCCCCCTCTCTGCACTGCAAAGGATGAGCTTTCGCCCCCTCTTTGCACTGCAAAGGATGAGCTTTCCCCCTCTCTGCACTGCAAAGGATGAGCTTTCCCCCTCTCTGCACTGTAAAAGACGAACTTTCCCCCTCTCTGCACTGCAAAGGATGAGCTTTCCCCTATCTACACTGCAAAGGATGAGCTTTCCCCCTCTCTGTACTGCAATCACAACACTGTAACCAGAATTCTATTACTGCACATTCCTGTCCATTCAATAGCATTTTTAGTTTTTTACTTTCAATTTCACTTTTTAAACTGTATTTTAATAGCATTTTTCAGTCTATGTCTTTTGTCCATGTCTCAATATGTCACGTTTAAATTACTTACATATTTATATTCTATTTATAATGTACATCTATATAATATAGTCTCTATTTATATTCCATTTATAATTGATATATTCTATTGACTATCCTCTGTTTCTTGCACTGTGACCAACAAGATCGTATAGCTGAACATGACAGAAATACTTTGACATTAACTTGCTCTCTTGGTAAGCCAGTCATATAAAACAGCATTTCAGTTACTCAACTGTGTTCCCCACAGGCCCTCCTCAGCATTATAAATGTCCATAATGAAGATAAAAGCTATACCTATCTTGATTTAGTTAGAACCCCAAAGATGAGGAGGCTGGCCTTGTATACAGGAATTGTTTGGTAAGTTTCTTGATTCTGTAATTAGGAAATTATTTGTAATTAACTGTCCAGTATGTCTCCATTATGAGAAAGGGGCATTTTCCCTTCTTTTCTGTTAGGTATGGAGTGGCTTCCACATATTATGGGATAAGCCTGAACGTCACAGGATTTGGTCTGAACATTTATCTGACTCACTTCATCTATGCTGCGATTGAAATTCCATCAAAAGTTTGCGTGTATTTCTGCCTGGACAAACTGGGCAGAAGGTACTGCCAAGCGGGGGCATTGATTTTAACTGGCACTTGCATTGCAGTAAATATCTTTTTGCCAAAGGGTAAGATCTGGTTTCGGACTGACTGATTGTTAACTGTGAAAAAAAAATGTGTATAGATCCATTTTGTAGATCCTTCGAGCATTGGCTGCCTGTCTAACAATGTTCACATTTCATTCACCCATCTGCCAAGATTTGTGGCACTTCCGCACCGTTATCGCCGTCCTTGGCAAAGGGTTGTCCGAGGCCTCCTTCACAACGGTGTTCCTGTACACAACGGAGCTGTACCCCACCGTCCTCAGGTGAGAGACAGTGATGCCATCGGGTCTCAGACCCACGTGCAGATGTGTCGAAATACCCAAGGGTCTGATGCTCATTATCAATCGTACTCGGATTGACTACGGATCAAAATCCCATAAAACTAGCCAGTAAGAATGTTGGATGTCAGAACCTACTGCTGACGTCATTCTCTGCTCCAAACTCACGACTAACATTACACACCCTTCCAGAAACATGGCCAATATCACACGCCCTTTCAAACCCATGGCTGGTATTACACTTCCTTCCTAACTAATCACTAATGTCATACTCCTTTCCAAACTCATGGTTAACGTTATTATTCATTTCAAACTCACAGCTAACTTTACTCTCCCTTCCAGACTCACCCCTAATATCGTACTCCATTCTGAACTCATGACTAATGTCACACTCTGTTCCAAACTCATTACTAATATTGTACTCCATTCTGAACTCATGACTAATGTCACACTCTGTTCCAAACTCATTACTAATATTGTACTCCCTGCCTAACTCACAGTGTGGGCCAGCCACCTATCTACAATAAGGGTTAATTTGTTCTATTCTATATAAAAGTTAGCTCTAGCTGTCCTACATGATAAACAACTAGTGGTAAATTAGGGGAACTTACTCAGCATAAACTTACCCTGTGGCCTGAAGCTTTTAAGATTTGAAAAAGTCAGCCAGCCCTGAAGTACAAAACACAAGACATTTACTTTTAATAAATATCAGTAATTGTGTATCTGATGGCCAACACCACACAGGCTTCCCATCTTTGTTTTCATGCAGGCAAAACGGCGTGGGCTACACCAACTTCATGGCTCGCATGGGCGGGTCCGTCGCTCCGCTTATCCTGCTATTGGAGGACGTGTGGAAGCCCCTCCCCCAGGTTATTCTCTGTGTGGTGGCCATGCTGTCTGGCTTTGTGGCAATGTTGCTCCGTGAGACGCACCACACACGCCTGCCAGAGACCATCGAGGACATCGAGCAGACAAGGTACAGTGCTCCATCTGGCCATACCATGTGGTATATTACTACACTCCACCACTACTCTATGTTTACTACACTCCACCACTACTCTATGTTTACTACACTCCACCACTACTCTATGTTTACTACACTCCACCACTAGTCTATGTTTACTACACTCCACCACTAGTCTATGTTTACTACACTATGTTATATCGTTGTTTAGAAACTGTTTGTGTCCAATGATTGGCATTAGAGTCTCATACTTTTAGAGTGTTTTTAATTCTTGTATCTAATATATTATTATTATATATTACTAAAGGATCTAAAAATACTAAAGTATTTTTCTTCCTCAGAATTTAGCTTATTATGTAGTATTGGATTTTCCTCCATTGTTGTCGATCTGTCCACACAAATATGATTTATTCACATGTTTGGTGTTGTGTTATAATTTTCTTGTTTCAGGAAATTATCAGTGCATGTTCCTGTCCAGGAGATTGACACCCCTCTGAAGGCGATACCCAGGGAAGTGAGCTGAGATGCCCACAGGAAGTCATTCAGGCAGCTTCCTGGGTCACAAAGTGGGCGGGGCCACTTGGGGGAGGAGGTGGCCGGAAGGAACCGGCCCCAGATGTTTCTGTGACGCCTGTGTCACTTCGAGCTTGATAATACGAACTCCGCCATCAATCCCAACAAATGACTCTTGCACAGTGACCCACAGGATGTCACATGAGATGGGGACTTCAGAAAAGCCACACCGTCACCCTGTAAACCATAAACAACATCCAGTACAGTCAATGCTTTGTGTCTATTCCCATATCAAAGCAGTCGTGCTGCCCGGACAGACAGCAGATGAAGGCATTTGCGCTTCTCTCATTCACAGTGCCCTTCAGAGCTGTTGCAAAACATGTTGAAATGTCATTTAATTAAAAGGTCTTTAATATTACTAAGTTTGTTAGCATCATTTGTTTTTTGAGTTAGTATTGGTTTAACTAATATACAATATCTTACCCCAGTCATGTACACAAAGAATATTCTAAATTCGGATAACATTTACAAATTCACGTCCTGCTACACTGCACTTGATCATTTGCATAAAGAAAGTTAATCGTAATAGATAAGCTAGATAACGATAAGAAAAAAATATTAATCCAAATATACAATTAACTTGTTTTAGAGAATGAGGAGAGTCATGTCTACTGAACTACACTTTAGATTAAAGACATAACTAAAATTCTGGGAACTTCCCGTTAAAGAGAGTTTGAGGGTGTGATAGAGTCCCCGTGATGCAGTATGTATGGAATTTAAGTGTCACACTAGAGCAGGGTTCTTCAATTCTGGACTTCGATTCCAAATCCAGGCCTTGTTTTCAGTTCTCCCAGGTAGTTAGTTTAATAATTACTGATTCTGATTGGTCAGAGGTTTCACACCTGACTGACAGGTAAAGGAAGGCTGGAAAACCAGCAGTGCTCGGAGCTTGAGGACCGTGATTTAAATAACCCTGCACTAGAGGGACCTTCCCTGTTTCCTCGGACTCAATCTGCAAACCAGCAAAGACAATGAAGGATGTTTATTTTCATGGCCAGAATCGGTATTGATCTTGTACTTTCTCTTAATCATCTGCCTCCTTCAGAAGTTGAATATCCAGCCCTATCGGATGGGGAGGAAATGGAGATTTTTACATTCAAAGTCTTTCCTTGGCCTAACAACTTTCTCAGCAATGTCTGTCCTCATCAGGGTTTGCTTCCTGAAGGCTGACGGGCAGCAAACTCCTTCATGGTTCTTTGGCACTTCGACTTTCCTGGGGTCCACTAAACAGCCAGCGGCAGGGATGAAATTAGAAAAGTGTCCTTGTTAAGATGAATGGTATTGGAAAGCACTGGAGTATTGCTCTCTTGCTGGTAATTCTCTGGATAAATGCATTCAGCTGTTTCTCGAAACATTCAGCCTGTATATTGAACACTTATACAGCTGGATACTGACCAGAGGAATTCTGGGTTGTTGACTGAATGCTCCTGTGCTTCATATATAATTTTTCATGCACTTTCTACAGTTTATGCTGCCCAAGAGAAGAATTACTTTAATTACAGTCCATTCAAGTGATATAATACAATTAATCAGAGTGCTGCTTTTCTCGTTCCTCACGGTCCTTTTTGAGTTGCCTCCAGTTGCCACGGGGTGCATTGTGGGTATTTTGTAAAATGCTTCTTAAGTATCTGAGTCATTCCGAGGCAGAAATGGTTCTTGGGCATTTAAATTTGCCAAAATTAAGACCAAAATGGCTTCTGCCTCTGACACGATTATACCAAGGTTAAGGTGTGGCTTTACGCTGCATCTAGACCGTCGTTTCTGTAAGTTTTAATGCACATACTTTAAAGCACTGCCCTTTTCTCCCCCTGGAAGTGATTTTTGGACTATGAATTTAATGAGATGTTGGGATTCTGTTCAGACAATATGTCTGTTAAAAGAATAACCTCATTTGGGCTGGACGACCTGTTTGTTTGGCCACCTAAGGTAGTTGATGTTAATCATTAACTTCACAGGTCTGGAACACAATGACAGCTCAATCTGCTTGTTCCTCCTTGTAAAATGTAGTCTGACATTTGCCATGACCTGAAGATCTAAGATTTTATCTTTTCTCTGTTATTCTGTTTTCTCTTACCGTGTGATCCCTGCAGGAGGAACGACTGCAAGCTGTTTGCCTCTGTGTAAAAAACTCAATAACCTGGTTACCTGGGTGTTACACCTAATAGCTGGTTTAAAAATAATAATTTTTGTACTACTACAATTCTGAAAATGAATCTAGATGTCAAATGTAAATGGAAAGTCAAATTATTAGATATTTTTCCATCTGACGTGTTTTTACACTTTACATAAGTACTTAAATGTATGGTGTAGAGTATGTCTCTAAATCACTCTGGATCTTTGCACTTGTTTTTAGTATTATTACATATTGAACGGTAAATAGAAATATTGAAAAACATGTCTGTTACCAATTAGTCAGTTGTATTTAATGTTTAACAAGTTTAGAATCTTAAGTCATTTATAAATAAATCATAACCTTAAGCTTGCACGTGGATCTGTGTGGCACATTGTAGAAACAGCTGGTCCAACAAAATGGGATTAATGAGCTGGAGGCAGGGATGAAGTTTGAGAACCTCCTGGCAGAAGCTGGTGGCTTCGGTCGGTTTCAGGTCGATAGTGCTCTCCATCGTCTTCGTTTCTCGCTTCACCCTGCCCTGCCACCTCCTGGTGCAAAACTTCATCGCTGCCGTGCCGCCCCTCCACTGCCACTTCGGTGTCCAGGATGATGCCGAAGTCTTTGAGAACCTGACCCTGGCAAGTGAATACGGCAGGAGAATGGGAGACTGTCATTGTGGATCTCTCACAGTGGCTCTCTCACAGTGGTTCTCTCACAGTGGATCTCTCACAGTGGCTCTCTCACAGTCTCTCTCTCACAGTGGTGGTTCCAATAGGATTTCAAAATAAATGCAGTCCTTCTTCCTTCATACCGTCATCTAATCTAATGAGCTGCATTATAATTGCATAATATATAATGTGTAATACATATTATATATATTATATAATAACTGCATTATAAATAATATAATGAAAATCGCAAATCACACCTGAGGCTTCCCGATATCCTCTGCGCCTCCTTCTGCAATTACCACTACGGTTCCTGCCACTCTCCTTGTCTTCCCTGCTGTTAGCATGGGACACCAGTTCGTATACTGCTGCCACCTATTGGACAGAGAGATGTACTGTACATCACACCAGCAAGCCACGATGAGCAAGGCTCTTTTCTCCACCCAGGAGCAGACGATGATTGTCACTATAATGGCACAGGAAAATGACAGTCTGAGTTCCGTCTCCAGCATGGAGTCGCAAACACTGACCCTGCGGTCCTGTGTCAGCACCTATGAGTCCTATGAACCAAAATAGCCCAACATAATTTCCAGTTTTGTGCTTTAATCATTGAAGAGATCTCTCGCTCATTGAAAGAGGGACCTGATCTATGACGAGTGAACACCAGAATGGTCAGGTGCATATATTGAGAAACACCCATGATTTATGGCAGGGTTACAATTTATTGCGCAATCACCTTGCGCTACCATCTCTGTCAGTCATGGGCTGTTTCTCCATATGCGTCCTTAACCATTCTTGTGTTCTCGTTTACCTGCTTTACGTCATCTTCCATCAGGGACATCAAAGGGGCATGAATACCCGGACAGATTCGGGGGGGGGGGGGGGGCAGCATGCTGTAATTTTGCACCCCAGGCAGGCATGGAGTGGGTAGACATTGAACACAGAAGAGTCGTGGGTGTGTTGGATGGGCTAGACTGGATGTTCCACTCCATCATGCCGTCCTGCATCACCTACCTTGTGGATGACCGGCGCTGGCTGCTGCTACGCCATCATGTCCCTGCTGATCAATACTGAGCAAACAAGGTAAGAGGATCCAGGATCTAATCAAATGACTGATGCCAAGGTTGAACAAATAGGCCTGCAAAAATCTTGGATGATTTGTGTAGTTTTCTTTGTAGTAGATGACACAAAAACAAGCCATTCTGGCTGCAGCTCCCCTCTTAAATGACCTGCGATAATTAAACAGGTGGCACTTTGGATTTGCTTCCCCCTGTTTGTTAATTATGGGACTCTTGGATCACAGTAAGAATCCTATTTATTTACTGATGATTAATTACAACCTAAAAACTCATGACTACTGCGAGGACATGAATCATAGGAATGGCCCTTTCATCTCCTTCCCCATGAAACCCTTTAAAAGAACAACTGAACACCTCAGACACTTATTGTTATTGGTATCAAAAAGATAAAATTCCAAATCCGTCCTTAATCGTTGTTTACCCAAACACAGCAATTTATTCAATTCAGTTCCGAAAATCACTGAGAGTAATAGAAGCGCAAACATTCCCTTAATCTTCACTAGTACTGTTCCTTCTTTAATAAGCTTAGGCCTTTGTACCTCAGTACATGCACAGTAAGACGTTAGAACTGACGACACTGAAAAGATCAGAGATGGCAGCACACGCGGTGGATGAAAAACAGCATGTTCCTATGCTCCGTTTCCAATGAAAAATCTCTGTAATGAAACTTTTAGTAGATTATTTGATGTTTATGGAATATGACACATTTTTAAATATGGCAGAAAACCATGGCTGAAAAATCCATTAAAACAGTGCCCTTTAGAGTGGTGAAAATGTTTGCTGTTTGTTGCCCTTCAAATGTGAGTCAATGTGCCCAATAGAGTGAGGGAATGTGATGAAGCGTTTCATGAAGGCCCTACTAGTGGAAATATACCGGGCCTTTACAATGGTCTAAACGGCTTCCCTGAGTGCCCTTCCGATGGAAAAGGTGCCATTATGTAGCTCAAAGTGTCCCAAAGGGCTCCATTTCGAATCAAGAAAATGGGATACGGTGCTGTAAAGGGTAATACAAGGAGGCGAAAAAACATGACAAAAGGGTCCACACCGGCGTCCGTGTAAAGCAGGGCTGCACGTCACATTGCGATTATACGGCGCATGCGCAATTATCACCAGCGCTTTAGATGACGGGCGTAAACCTTTGTCTTCGGTGCTACAGTATACGGAGGTTTTCTGTGGTTCACAATTTGGTAAGCAGTTTATTAGTGCACCTAAAATATTGCTGAGAGGCGTATTATGACGCCCAAAAGTTAGTAATCTGTATAAATTCGGCGTATCTTTATGTTTAATTAACGGGTCTGACTTAAAACTGCAAAAAGTACCGCCACAATATCACAATATCTCCTCTTTTAAAAGTTGTTGTGGCTGCTGAGCTGTCCTCTTCATTACCGCCACTTCAGTGCGAATCGCTTACATGATTTACCAAAACAGTAACCGAATCAAATAAACACAAGGATTCGCCGCCCACGTAGTATAATATATTGGACATACGTCTCCCCTG